TAAAGAACCGTCAGGGTTCCCTGCTAGGGAGTGGTTATAGTCAGTGGTCACTTGTAAATAAGGAAACCTTCAAAGCCTGGTCCACCTCACACCATAACTTTGCTACAAAGGATCAGCTGGCAAAATCCTCACAGACGTCTGTTGTGAATCTACATATTCCAGTTTTGAATTCTTTAATGTGCTGCTGTGGAGGAGAGAGCCTCTTAACTGAGGGAATTAGGCCTAGTCAGAGAGAGTTACTGTGACTGTGTATCTTATATCTTCATACTGAACCTCCTCCTTCCCCGAGTCTGGCGTCATGGCGACCGGAGATCCGGTCAGCCGTACTTCCTGTTGTGTTTTCCTGAGCACTTGAGTGAGGTGACAGATTTGCAAGGAGCCACAGAACTAGCTCAATCACTTTCTACCCCTTCATTTCCTATTTGTCTGTATTTACAACAGCATTTAACACAGCACTTGATGATTACACTGTGTACGCTGAAGCAGCCTTTAAGCCTCAGATTTCTGAAAGTATTACTGTCATTGTGCTATATATTTAATGTATATTATATATAAATATTTAAATGCAGTAACATAATTAATTGCATTGTTTGTTACATAATGAAAATTGTAATACTCATTATAGAATTATTATAGAATCTGCACTTTTGACAAAATGGTTCAATAACTGAGAAACAATTTGATTTTACAACATGCAATTGTTATTCCCTGCCGTAATGGCAGCTTCTCTCTGTTAAAGCATGGTTGTGTTGGGGAGCGGAGATCAGCACGACAATTCAGATGCAGTTACTTTCTAAATTTGAAGCACTTTCATTTCTTTGCCACTGGAAAATTCAGTTAGCTTAGCATCTGCAGCATTTCCAGCGACGATGCATGCACATGCAAATGCTGCAATGCACCCGAATCTCAGCCAAACAAAAAGAAAGAAAAAAAAAGTATTTCGCAAAAGCTTTTTCCTGTGTGCTCTGGGTGGCACGGTAAATTACTTCCCCTCTAGGAACACTTACTTATCCGCCTGTAGTAAAAGCATGAGAGCCCCTGGAGATTAGACGTGGTGGATGGACAAGGCCTGTCCTAGCGCCAGCTGCAAACTAAGGGCTAAAGATCACTGATCAGTCTAGACCTCACAGTCAATCACATCTCTACGTTAATGACAGCGACACAAGCAATAGTTTGATAATAACTACCCCAAATATAACAAATCAACAGAGGATGCTTATGTGGTTTTTCACACTGTGTGAACTGTTATCTGTGAAAAAGGAAGCATAACTGAAAACAGTAGGAGCTTTCATCTTGAAGCCTGAAATTTGTCCAGGGACAACCAGGTACTCAAGTACTTCGTTAACCGTTCTGGTCTGCCAGTGTTTGAACACTGAAATCTCTATTTGGTTGTTTGTTATGTTGCATTAAAGAAGGTCTGTGAGAAAATACATTGGCCAATAGTTTATTAAGCCTTCATAAAAGAGATTTTCAAATATAGAAAATTGTCAGAATGCACATACCCAGTTTTGCCTCTACTTTTGTCCACCCCCCCATTCCCACAATTCACCGTCAGCTAGATCTCTGCTTTCATGCTTTCACTCGCTACTAAGCTGGTTAAGGCTAGCACGTGCTTCCTCAAAGACATGAAGCTTCACTCCATCTTTTCAAACTGTTGCTAACGCAGCGTCATTGGAGAGCTAAGCATGCTTGGAGGAGAAGAATATAACAGCTAATTCTGTCACGTCAGCCAAGGGCTAGCATTGGCTAGCATTGGTAGCTGCATTGGCTACACTGCATTGACTGCACTGTAAGCTTAATTTAAGATTATTTACCTTATTTCTGGACATTTTTGCTTGTTTTAGGTAATTTTATCAAGAAAATTATCTCACTATAGTGGCAGATAATTGCTTGTTTGAAGAAAGCAAAATTATCTGTCGGTATAGTGAGATAATTTTTCTTTATAAAATGACCTAAAACAAGTAAAAAAAATCTGGAAATAAGCTAGATAATCTTATAATAGGTGCACAATGATCTCAAAATGGGAAATGTTAGATATATATTAACTGGATTTAAGATCATTTAACTTTACAAGATACCATTTTTTTGTAGTGTAGCATTGTGCTGAAGTGATGGAGGGAGAGGAAGGACCACCCTACCCACTCAAAGAGAGTAAGGACAATTATGCTATCTGAAGGCCATCACATACGAGATGTGTACCATGCCATGTTGCATAGCGTTGTGTAGCAGATACTGTACAAAGGGCATTGAGAGCACAATTTTTAGAATGTACTTGTATAAATTTTACCCTGTTTGGTATCAGCTGATTAAACTAACTAGCTAAGTAACTACCTACTAACTAACTAAACTAACTAAATCACTATTTTTCCGCTGAACGGTACAACGGAAGAAATAACACTAAATGATGGTGCCGGTGTGAGCACCTCCATTGAAAACAATGCTTTCCAATTTTTGGATGCTCCATGATGCATCCAGTGTGCGGTGGCCGTCAGGCTCCTGGCCAAAGATGGCTGTGGCAGTGTTACTTGGGAGCTCCCCAGTTTTGTCTGTTTTTATAGATAACAGTATGCCATGCAGTGTCAGAAACCACATAAGGAAGTCTGTTTGAGATTTCTGACAAGTACATGATGATTTAGACATGCATCCATTCTCACAGTGCTAGTAAGCTTCCGTTATTTATTAGCTACATTAGCCTTGTAGCTCCAGTGCAAAACCTAAAAAAGCTAACTCAGGACACCGAACATGTGTTGGCGTGGCTAAGTTACATTGACTTTATGCAAATTAAGGAGAAAATTATGTGGTTTTAAATTTTTTGTCACACTCTTTTGTTTAGCTGTATGTGGAGATGTTGTTAGCGTTGCGCTAAACCTTCCTCTTCGTGAGTAAGCCCTGTGGCATTACTTTTGTTTACAGGTCTCTAAATTACATTAGTTTATTTCTTTCTGCCTTTTGTAATCCAAAGCCAAGGGCTTATGCAGCATCAGAGCGTCGAAAGCTTGACCTGGATTTAGTAACAGATACATACTGGCAGCTGCAGTAAAATCAATGGGTTGTCCTGTACTGTCTTTGTCTACTGTATTTAGCTGTGGAGTTTTAATGCACTAGTTACTGCATATTTCAGCTCACAAGAGCCACCATAATATCTTCAACAAGTGTGTTTTGCTGCTGAGGGGAAGAAGTAATGAAATGATCTCTTCTTGCGCAGCAGTCACTGAACCAACATGGTTTACATATTTAATGCATGCTAATGCTAAGTGTTAATAGATTTCATTTATCAACCTTAAAAATTTATTGGTTTATTTAACTTAAAGATTTTAGATGTTCTACTTAGAGCTATTACTTTTAAGATGCAATTCCAGCAGACTAGCATATCCAGCAACTTGCTTAGTATCATTTTCAGTGGCTAACAGCCATCGTTTCAGATAATTAAGTGATAAGCTAAGGCTAAAGACTTACGTTATTAGGCTGCATATTAGCCGTAGCACTTAGTGTGCTTTGTCAGTCATGAGGCTGTAAATTATTTAGATTGTTCTGTGGAGCGTGGCGTATTGCGTGTCTGCTCATAGTCCACTGTAGTGTGCATTCAGGGACAGAACCATTCATTGTGCTGAACAAGGTGCAGTTGTTTAGCTGTTAGCCTTGTTTTGGTTCAAATACATTGAATTAATTCAGTAAGTGATGTGTTGTTTCAGCGCATGTATCGTTGCTTATGTTTTTGCTGTGTATCGATCTACAACATGAGGCTACATTGTTGGACCAACGCTAAACTGTGCTACTGACAGATTGTCCAGTGTTGTCCAGGGCAGAGGTTTGGTGTTAGCCAGTGGAATGTTTTGTGGTTGAGTGGCTCGTTATGCCATGCTGACTGTAAAGTCTCAGTGGCTGCGCTTCAGGCATTATTGATGACCAAGGGCAGATGAATGGCTGCCCTTCTAATGAGGGGCTGCCAAAGGCTTGGGTTTCCAGCTTACACTCTTTCAACAGCTCACGCAATATGTGCAGAAAGGGCCGAGTGATGGCCATATAGTCAGGTTAGAGCCAGGTTAGAAACCTATTGAAGATGAGGAAGTGTGGCGATTTATGCTATTTTATTACATCATTGTATATCAAAAAATGTAACTTTTCAGGAGAAATAACATTCTTGAAGGGAAATTCTGGCCCAAATGAAAAATGTAACCATTGCTACATCTGTTGTTAACATGCCTACTTGCCTAGAGGTGTCACAGTAGGCTGTAGAGCAAGATTTTTTCTGGTATTAAGGCCAGAAAAAAACCCTTCTTGATGATGTATCTTGAAAATGGGAGGAACTTATGAAAACCTACAAGCACTACAGGTTGAGTATATGAAGTTGGCCTGTTTGATTTTTTTCCTGCTAGCTGGCTAATGGTTGCCAGTTAGCTAACAGTGCTGCTATAAAAACGCATATCTTGTCTGTGTTTGTCTTGTCTATTACCCTCTACACTAGCAGTTAGGAATTCTTTGTTGCCCTGGTGGTGAAGTGAGGGGGTTCTCAATGGTTGTATGAAATATTTGCATGTTGCATACTGGGTATTATAGTAAGTAAACTTTGATTGAAGAAAACACATAAAGGATTCAAAATCCTGAATTCTGTCAAACCGACGAGGGTGAGGGATACAATGCTGCTTGATAGAATATTACACTCTCAATAAAGACAGTTCTTAAAGAGTTCTTTAGTAAAGAAAACAGTTCAATATAGAACCATGAACATTCAGACAACCCTTTGCATGACTAAAGGGTTCTTTGCATCATGAAAGGATTGTTCAGATTGACGGAGAATGTGTTGTATGTGGCTCTATATAGCACCAAAGAGGTTTTTGCTATTATTACAAGCTTGACATCGTAACAATAGCAGAACTATTAATAATTTGTTGTAATTAATTATATTTTATTCAGAATGATTCATTTCGATAAGATTATCCAACATTAAAAAAAATAATGTAATTACTTTGGCTGACTCTGTTGTCTTTGTCCTGTTTCAGTTTCCAGAATGTGGATTCTTTGGCATGTACGACAAGATCCTGCTCTTTCGCCACGACTTGAACTCAGACAACATCCTGCAGCGGCTGACGTCAGCTGAAGACATCCATGAAGGAGATCTAATAGAGGTGGTACTCTCAGGTGAGTGACTGTGGGGCTTTTATTCTGATTGGAGGAAATGGAGTTGTTCGGCTTGTGGTTGCTAAATTTGTCACCTTTCAGTCACACTTTGTCGTAACATTTTGGATTAAGCGAGGACATAAACAGTGAAAAAAGTGATCACACTGAATGATCTCTATAAACACAGTGTTTAATGTGCTGCTGAATCAAAGTATTCATTACTTTATTATATTCTTTTTTTTACACATTAGACTGTTTCCATTTGTTTAACTATGAATGTGGATAAGCTTTGACACCGGTTGCTTAATTATTCTGCAAAGGTGCTCATACAGTACTAGTTTAAAGTTTGGATGCACCTGATTACCTGGATTTCTTCCATTATCTGACAGATGTTTTTACCTTGTATGTTTTAATTTTGTGTTTTATGCTTGAATGTTTAGTATTTGCTTCTGAGACAAATGTATATATTGAAGTTGGTGCTTACGCATGCCTTTGTAATTTATTTTTCAAAGGAAATTTAAAAAAGTAAAAATAATTTAAAAAATACATACAATAACGTAAAATAAAGTTATATAGATAAAACTATACATCACAAGGTGTTTTTAGATGTTTTATTTAATATTTTTAAACAGCCTCAGGCAAAAAGGCTTCAAAGAAGACGTCATCAGGGTTAGCTGGTACAGTACCACGCAAAAGTCAGAGACCACCCTTCATTTATTTAATTTCCAGTCAAAACAGCCATTAAGTACAAGCTATGAATTTTTCAGGAGATATTTCTGAGAGATTAGATGTAAGATCATCCATGTATGGGGAAGGACAAAGTCAAAAGAAAATAAGTAATAAAAACAGAAGTTTCCAAAACAGGAGTTCAAAAAATGATTAAAAGCTAAAGAGAAAATGGGACTCTTAACAACCATGCAAGACCTGGTAGACACCAAAACTGTCCCCATCAGATAAGCAGCACTTAAAGCTTTCATCTTTGAGAGAGAGGAGAAAATCAAGCTGCTTCAGATCTGAAAACATCCACAGGTGTTTCTGTCCATCCTTCCACTGTGAGAAGACAACTCAGCGCTATGGGTCTGAAAGGATGTGTAGCTGTCAAGAAACCTCACTGAGAAAAGGAGACGGACACATCAAACAAAGAAGCTGAACAATGGACTGACCACCCCAGAGTCCAGACCTCAACATCACTGAAAGTGTTTGGATTACTTCAGAAAATGATGAACCAACTTCTAATACTGAACTTTGGAGGTGTGTCTGCAGATTTCTTTGAAAAACTGAGAGTGAGTCTCCTGAAAAGAATGGAAGCTGTGGTAAAGACAAAGAGTGGACACACAAATATTGAAAATACCTGATATTAAATTTAGTGAAAAAAAAAAAAAATTTGTGTGTAAGTTTCTTTTAAGTTTTCTGCTTTTTGCTGATGTTAAAAAGTGATGAGCTTGTACTGTGTGGCTGTTTTGAATAGAAATGAAATAAATGAAGGGTGGTCTCTGACTTTCGCAGTATAACAGCACAGACGCACCTGAAGCTGCTGGTTAGATGCTGGTTTCCTCCTGCTCTGCTGTGGTGTGGTTGCCTGTTGACGGCGTTATGTGAAACTCAGCCAACACCTGAGCAGCTGCGGCTTTCATATTCATGAACTCCACATACGATGTTCTCCGCACAGAAACAGCACTGCACACACATACACCACTTCCTCCTCGTGCAGGCTTCTTCTGGTGCAGAGTTCTCGCTTGATTTAACTTTGTGCATGCACTGCATCAGGCTTGTCATCAGTTGTTTTTTTTATCTCTCTCTACGTCTCTCTCTCTCTCTCTCTCTCTCTTTCTTTCAGTCCTGTTATGGGCTGTAAACTTTTGGCACCTTTTCTAGAGCTGACTTGTGAAAGCTCCTCTGATATAAACCAGCGGTTTTAACCCCGAAGTGACCAACCGGGTATACAGTTGTGTGCAGAGGTTTGGATGCCCCGATCAAATTACATGATTTGTTGATTTTCTACGAGACACATCCTCTGCAGAGAACACACTTCTTTACATTTTTTTATTCTTTTTTATTCAATATTTTAAATAAGTTAATGTTGTATATGAAGTGTTGTATATCGCTGCTGTCGGAACAAAACCTTGTATCTCCTTTTTATTTTTTTTTCATTTTTCAGTTTTTGACATAATGTAAAAAATACCTGTTGCCCTTTATATTGTACGTAAATTGCATGATGAATGGACTAAATGAAAAGGCTCAAAATGAAAAAGTCTGGTTCCATTGACTTACATTACAAGTAAAGTAAGTTTTTTCCTGCTCCTGTCAAGTTACCGTTTTGGAGATACAAGATTTTCTTCTGACAGTAGCAATATATGTTTTATTCTCTGTCTAGGATTGCAGTAAGTGCTTTTTTAACTTCAGCAGAATGTCATTTGAGGGGGGTGTTCTGCTGCATGCACTGTTATTTATTGCCAGGATTGCACAATATTTAACCCTAATGTAGTTTCACAGTAAAACACTGTATTCATCACTTTATGGTGAAATCAACATATTTTTTGGAATAACAGAAAAGTACTATGAGGTTGACGTTGAGCTGTATTGCACAGGATTTATGGGAACTGAAGTTAAAAAGGCGTTTTAATAAAAACGTCTGGCCTAATCTTTTTCTTAAATTTGTTCTTGAGAAAGATCCTTAGAAATAGTCTACATTACTTTCATGATGTCTTCTTAAACCACAGAATTATATCTATAATTCTAAATAAGAAAACAGTGATTGTAGAGCATCTCTGTTGGTCCATTTATCATGAAGAAATTTCACAATGTGAAGGACAGCCGCTATGTTCAAATGACATAGAAAAATAAAAAATGTTAAAAATAGAGGTTTTTTATTTGGGTCAGCAACAATATGTAAATTTACAGTAAATTACTGGCTACTGAATTGCATTACTTTAACCATTGTTATATAGAAATACAGGAAATATCTGTATTTTAGGATTGTTACTGTAAGTGTACAGCAGCACACAGCTACATCACAGCCATCACTTGTTTCCATGTGGCTAGGAAATAATATTTTTTTACAGCATAAGACTGTATAGGGGTGCAAAATCACAAGAAACATAATTTTGTTAAATGCTATCCACTCTTGGTGCAGACACACGGCAGTGTGGTGTCTCCTGGTCTGTTCTCCTTCACTCCTCTCTGGTGCTTTCTGGCTGCTGGCCTTCAGCCTTGGTGCCAGCAGCTTCGCTTCACCCTCAGACGGATGGCAATAACAGATAGGCGTTGTTGTTGAGCTGTGTACTGTGCTGGATGTTAGCTAGTGAATCACTCTGACCCTGGCTGAAAGCCTGCTGTTGTTAAGTGAATGCTAAACACAGGCTTTAGTTTAGACTGTATGTGTTTTTCCCACATATCTAATACGTATCTGAGCTCTTCCTGGAAGTCTGGACAGAAAAAAACAACAAAACAAAGCCAGACCTTTCAGATTCAGTTTGCTCTACATTTGTGTATTCTAGGTTACCAGTGCAGGCCTTTCAGCAAATGCTCGCATAACTAATAGCTTAAAACATAAAACAGCTTATCTCAGTCTAGACTCATGAATGTGATTAGGTTAAAAAGTAAAACAAAGCTGATTTGGGTTGCATTACAGCACGTCTGACATTCAACATTGGAACCCTGTTCTGTGACTTAGAAATGCAGTCAAGTGAGATAACCCCTTTAGCCCCAGGCTTATTATTCAGTATAATAATAAGATATTAAGTTATCACCGAGTAACTACTGAATTATTCACTACTGATACTGAAACAACAAACCGCATTAGACTGTGCATTAGTACTCGATATACAAGAGGCTGTGCATTAAAGGCTGTTTTTAGTCACATCATAAACATCCCTAATAATCCTAACAATCTCAATAAACAGTGCGTGTCATGCAGTGTAGTTTGTTAACAGTGGGCTTTTGTTGCCAAGCAACATAACATTTCCAGCATATCTACATGATGATACAAAATTCAACTGAAAATAAACAAAACATTGCTATGTCTGTTGTCTCCTGTAGCATAGTGAGAGAGTCTACCAGGAAAACCCCCTTCTAATATATCTTAAAGGTGGGAGATACTTTTGAAAAACTGCAGGCACTTGGCGACGGATACGTTAGGACGAGCTGTTTTAAATGTATTAATTTTTTCTGTATATTGTCAGTGCTTACAGCACTAAAGCAAAGTGAAAGTGTGCCACTGTGTAACAGGAGTGAACTATCAGGAACAAGTGTTCAGTGCCGCTCTTATCGTTTAGCGTTTGACGCTGAGCTGTAATGACTGCGGAGGGGTTGTGGTGCCGTGCTTTCCTGGCTGACCAGTGTGTGGTTTGTCTTTTCCTCATTTCTCCGCACCTCTGATGTTCTTCGGAAGAATTCCCCTCCTCTGAGCGCATTCCTCTGCGCAGACGCTTCGGGAATTCCGTTGCCATGGAGCTGTTTTGAGTCTGAAGAGTCTCAGTGTTAGCTTATTGATTACAAAGAGAGAGCTGCTGTTGTTTCTAATGCATCCAGTAGTGCTGCACAACGTGTCAAAAGTTCAGTGCTGTTTCAGTACTACAGCGTGGTAAAATCTTCTGTGCTTTTGCTTTCAGTATTTTAATACTTCTTTTAAACACTTTGTTGGCACTGTGTTGATGCTGCCTGTAAGCTGATCATGTTAATGATATACAGTACTGTACAAAAGTCACAGACCACCCTTCATTCATTACATTTCCAGTCAAAACAGTGATTAAGTACAAACTATTCATTTTTTCAGTGTCAGAAAAAAAGCAGAAAACATATATTTAACAGAAAATTAAACCTCAAATTTTCAGCATTTATTTTGTCTCTCTTCACCTTTATCACGTCCTCCATTCTTTTCAGGAGACTCACTTTCAGTTTTTCAAAGAAATCTGCAGGGATGTTTTGCACTTCTAAGTTCAGTCTTAGAAGTTGGTTGATCATTTTCTGAAGTAATCACACACATTCAGTGATGTTGAGGTCTGGACTCTGGGTGGTCATTC